ATTTTAAGTTAAAGGTTTAAAAGTAAGTTAAGTTATTTTTTTATTTATTATATTATTTAATATATATAGTTTATTATAAGCCTATTAAAAGCTATAGCTAGGTAATTACTACTAGGGTAGTAAGCTTAATATAATTTTTTTATAAAATATATATATAAACCACCTGGAGGGCAGAACGGGATAATACTAAGTATATTAAAATAAAAAAGTATTATTAATTTTAAAAACTAGTATAGGTTATAAATTTTTAGCCTAATATTATATTTAGTTTTAATTATAAAATTACTTTATTAGTAACCCTGTTTTAGCCTGGCCTTTTTTACTTTTATTTTTTATAGTTTAGCGTCTTTATGCTTGGGCTTTTATTAATTTATTAAAGTTTTTATTTAAGGTTTTTTTTTATATAATTTTTTTTTTTATTTATTTTTTTATTACTACTATTGCTACTACTACTATTATTATTATTATATTTTTTTTATTTATAAAACCCTTAATAACACTTATTACTTTATTAATAGCCTATTATACCTAAATAAGGTTAATAAAGGCAAGGATAGCAAGCCTTATATTTTAGTTATAATTTAAGGCCTAAATTTAAGTTATTATAATAATATTAAGCGCCCCTAAAATAGTATACCTTTAATTATTAATTTTTAAAATTACTAGCGCGCTAATTTTTGCTATAAAATAATAATTTATTATTAAGGCTAGCTATTTATTATTAATTATACTAAGGGCTACCTAGTTTTTATTATTTATATAAAATTTATATTATTATATATTTATTATATTATTAATATATTATTTACTAACTTGCTCTTTTTTTTAGTATTTTTAATAATTTTTTTAAGTTTAAGTATAATAAGACCTGCCTTAATTTATTATAAGTAATAGTTACCTTTATTAGCTACTTTATTAACTAAGTTACTAATAAAAAAGGTGTTAAGGCCTGGATTATTAAAATAATAATATATAACCATGCTAAAAAAATCTTAAACTTTTTTACCTTAATTTATATTATATTTTAGGTTACCTATAAAATTAATAATACCTATTTATCTTAGTTTTTAATACTAGCTATTAACTAGATTTTTAGTTTATTAATATTTTAGTAAGCTTTTTTTCTTATAAGAATATAATATATATTTATATTAATATTTTTAGTATTTTATTTATTTTATTTACCGTGGATGCCCTTGCTACTAGGTATTTTAATAATAATATTTTAAAAAAGTGCAAACGCAAGGTGGCTAGTAAAAAACTTTTATTAATAAATTTAAACCCTTATAATAATAGCCCCGAGCTTATAAAAAATATATAAAATAATATTAATTTTATAAAAAAATAATACTATACTTATTATTAATATAATTAAAAATATTATTACTTATGCTAAGCTAAGTAACTACCCTTTTTTTTTTATTTTTATTTTTTAGGCTAAACCTTTGCCTTAACCTAAGTTTTTACTTTTATTTAATAATTTATTTAAAGCTAAAATATTAAAGCCTAAAATACCTAAAATTAATATATTTAAGGCTAATATTCCTATGCCCAAGGCTAAGGTAGTAAAGTTTAATATATTTAAGCCTAAAATATTAAAGGTAAATAAGTTTAAGCCTAAAATATTAAAGTTAAACTTAAGGTATTAAAGCCCAAGGTGCCTATAATAAAATATAAAAATAAAATTAATTTTTTTTATATAGGCTTAAGCTTTAAATTAAAGTTAAATTTAAAATTAAAGTTAAATAAGTAAAATTTTTTTAAATTCTCGCGGACTAAAATATTAAAGCCTAAAAAATTAAATTTTATATTTAATTAAGGTGCTAATATTTCTTTAGGTAAGGCTTTTTTAATAAGTAAAAAAAAAACTAGCAAAAAGTAGGTAGTTACTTAATAATATTTAATAAATATTATTCTAGTGCGTAGTAGTAAAGCATAGTATTTATAAAAAATGTTTTTTTTATTTTTAATATTATTTAAAGTATTATTAGCTAACTAGCTTAAAAAAGTCCATGGGCTATATATATAATAAGCTTATATTTTAATTTTATTTTTATTTTTAAAACTATTTACCTTATTTACCCTATTTACCTTTACTTTTTTTACTTAAGTATTTAAGTGTTTTATTTAAAGGTTTAGTCTTTTATTAAATAAGCTTTTACTAATAGGCTTTTACTAATAGGCTTTTATTAATAGGTTTTTATATTTAGGCTTTTATATTTAGGCTTTTATATTTAGGCTTTTTTTTTAGGCTTTTTTTTAGGCTTTTATTTTATTAGTCTATACCTTAATACCTTTTAGTAATAGGTATTTTAGCACTAATTAATACCCAGGCTAATATTAACTTAATATACCTATTTTAACTTACCTTTTTTTTTTTTTTAACTTTAGTATTCCTGTAATTTATTATTATTAGTCTTTAAATAAAAAAATAGGTACTTAGCTTTTAAGGGGTGCACTAAAGCTTAGTATTTATTAATAAATTACTTTAGTATACCTAGGAATAAAGTGCATGCATAATAGCTTTAATATTAATATTATAAATAATATTAATATTAATATTAGGCCAAGCCTAATAGCCCTAAGGTACCTTTAAAAATACTTTTAAAATAAAAGGTATTTAAATAATAAAAAGTATTACCTAAATATATATTTAAGTTACCCCTAAAGGCATTACCTAAATAATATATATATAATAACTTTAGTAATAATTTTATAAGTAATTTTATTATTAATTTTAGGCTAAGCTTAATAACCCTAAGGTACTTTTAAAGGTACTCCTAAAGTAAAAAGTATTTAAGTAATAAAAAGCATTACTTAAATAGGTGTTTAAGTAGTAAAAGCACTACTTAAATAAGTATTTAAGTTATTTTTAAAGGTGTTACTTAAATAATACATGCACGGTGGCTTTAGTAATAATTTTATAAATAATTTTATTATTAATTTTAGGCTAAGCCTAACAGCCCTAAGGTGCTTTTAAAAGCATTTTTTAAATAGGTATTTTTGCCTAAATTACTTTTAAAAATATATTTTAAATAGGTTATTTAAAATACTCCTGGAGGAGCTTCCTAAATAATAATACCTAAATATTATTTTTAAGTATATTATTTTAAGTAAAGCCTATAAGGCTTTTTTTAATTAGCTTTTATAAGTGTAATTTAAGCAGGGTTTTAAAAAATTTTTATAATATTTTTTTTACTATTATAGTATACTTTAGGTTAATTTAACTATTATTTAGGTTTATAATTTTTTTTTAAATTTTTTACTTAATAATTTACTTTAGGTTAATTTAGCTATTATTTAGGTTTATAATATTTTTTAAAGGCTTAATAATTTATTTTAAGTATTTTACTACTAGTAGGTTATATTTTTTTTTAGGAATTTAAGGCTTTAATTTTATAATATTATTTTTTATTTAGTAAGGCTTTTAGGTCCTACCTTATTATTATAATAAATTAATTTAATAAATTAATTTAATAAAAATAGTGTGTGGTTTATGGTGTATAATATATGTAGTATATATATAATTATTAAAATAATAAGTAATATAGGTACTAGTATCTTATATTTAAGTAAATAAAATACCCCCCCTTTATTAAATATATTATTTAAAATAATATATAATATTTTTTATAATATATAGCCCTTAATAATACTAGCTATATTATAAGGGCTACCTTTAAGTTTAAATAAGCTAGTTAAGCTAAATTTTTTTTAGGTAAAAACTAGCTTATATTAATATAAAATATTTAAAATATTTAAGCTTTGTTTTTTTTATGCCCTTTATAAAATTAAAAAAGTATATTATATAATAGGATTACCCTAATTTTTATTAATTAAAATTAATTTTAAGTATTAGCACTTTAATAATACTTATAATATATTATTAAATATTATTTATTATATTAATTAGCCCTTAATATTTTTTTAAAGTTACTATATATAAAAACTAAATACTTAAAATTTTTTACTTAAGATGCTATTTATAGCCTATATTAAAAGTATTTAGCTTTATTTAAGTTTATACCTATAAATAATAAAAGGCTTTAGCTTAAAGTTTTAATAATATTACTTTATTTTATTTAGGTATTACCTTTTTTTTACTTAATAATATATAATACCTTAAAGGGAAAAAAATAAAATTAAACTTTTAGCCTTATAATTTTATTTAAAAATAGCACTTATGGCTTATAACTACCTAGTATAAATATTTAAGTATAATATATATTTTTTATAGGTAAAATAAATTAATTAACCTAGGTTAATAGGTATATAACTAAGTATTTATTAAATATTTTTATTTTATTAAACCTTAAGGCCCGTGGGTAGTTTAACCACCTTTTAATAAATATTTATAATATTTTATTATTCCCTAGTACGTGTATTTATATAGTAAATATTTTTTTAAATTTATAGTTTTTTATTATTTTATTTATTTTAAGTTTTACTTGCGGCCGATAATTAAAAAGATAAGGGCTGCTAATGGCGCCTACGGCGCCGCGGCCGGAACCGCTTGTTCAGTATAGTACTAACAGCTTCCAGGGACACTTATTGTCGATCAACCAAATTGGACGTGATGTCGCCCGCGCGTCAGGAACCCTGGTGGAATGCGCGACGGGGACCTTGGGGGTAGTCCGTCATTCAAGATGCCCGCGCTCCGCATCATGGTCTCTTCATATTCCAGTTATAGGATGACTCTGAGCTCCGGAGGAATACTTCTGTTTGCTCGCTTGATTAGTCAATTCGAGTGTTTGCCTCGAGTCCGCAGGCTGAGCCATTGACCAACGACCCAATCCCCCTGCATACTCCGCACGGCGACACGAGAGACGGGAAGCCGACGAGCTCAATTATAAGAAGCTCTTTCGATAGTCAGTTCGAGAGGTCAGTCCAGGAAGCGGTCGTATCTGAGCTACACGGTACGTCAGCACCGAATATGCCACCGGAACCAAGAATAACAAGTCGAGTCCTCAGATCAAGAACAATCAAGCCAAACCGTCAGTATGAGCAAGGGAGCAACGATGCACACTCTCACAACCCTCCCCGAGGAACTCCTCGCCCTCGTCCTCCAGAACTGTACATCCTTCGCCCAGCTCCATTCCGCGATCCTAACATCGAGAACGCTCTACACCGTCTGGAGGAACAACCAGCGCACCATCCTGTGGCAGGTCGGCCAGTCATCGGTTCCCGGGTTCAGCGAGGCTCTTATTGCCGTACTTTTGCTCTATTCGAACCCTGTGAAGTGCACAGTGGCTGACCCTTACCATACAGGTCCGAGCAACAGACATCGCCAAATCCTCTGTCCTCCGCGGCGAGCTCCCACCGCACCCATTCCCCATCAACGATCTCTCCGGCGAGGACTCAAAACCAACACTAGCTGAAGTACAACAAGTCCAATCCTTCGCTTGCTTAGCCGCCTACCTCGAGTCCCGCACGCGCTGCGGGCATGACAAAAAGAAGAACTTCCTCCCGCACAGATGGTACTTTGATAGTCTTTCCTGGTCAAAAGAGACATGGTCTACCTGGCGAGAGTCGTATCATCGAGCCCTATACCGGTACCTCACTGCCGGCGCTGTCCTATGTCGAGCATACTACGAACCGCTGCTGAGCGAGAAGAAACCAACGGGGTTCCTGTACTCGCTCCTCTCAATGCTAGAGGGAAAGGTACCCCGGAGCGCAAACAGCGAGTACTACCCCGTCTGGTTCACAGAGGAAGAAAAGGGGTATCTCCGCTCCGTACCGCTGTACAGCAGCCAGGGCTACGACGGTGGCTGGGAAGAAGCATTCCGCCCACTCGAGGAGTTATTCGTGCAAGAGAGCAGGAAGAACGCCTTCCCAAGACCCTCAAAAGAGCATCCCTCACCATCGGAATCCAAGTCCCAGAGACGTCTACACGCCACATTCGGCACACACTCACAGAATCCCCTTTCCTTGGACGCTGATCACCACGAAACCCTCTTCACGCACCTCCTCCACTTCCTCTCTCTAATCGACAACGACATCCGCTACCTCATCTCCCTACCGGGCGATACACCGGCCGAGGACAGCGCGGATCCTATTATCCATTCTCTGGACGGCGTATTCCTCTTCGGCTCGTTTACGCTTATGGACATTACCATCCGGCAGAAAGGAGCAGACAAATCCGGATCCGGATCCGCAACAGACTATACTTCATGCGTTGCATTCGCGTCTCCCACACTCCCCAAACTGACCAGCGAGTCTATCCTCTCCACACCCAATCAAATCCCCACTCCAATTTCCAATCCAAATACGAGTATGTACCTCGGCTACCCCAACATGCACAACACCCTCAAGAAAATCTGGGACGTCTCGGGCCTCCCAAACTGCTATGCCTGGAACCCCGTGCACAAGACGCCGCCACCGGTTTCCTTGTTCGTCGAGTACATGCTGCGAAAGTACTACGGGCTGCGGTTCAGTTGGCGGATGTTTGATGCGACGACTGAGGTGCGCTGTGCGTGGTGTGCGTTTCATCAGTTTGGGGGGGTTTTTACGGGTTTCGCACCGGGAGAGAGGGAGGGTGACGGAGTGTATGTGGGAGATGATCTGTTTATGCCTGATAGCAAAGATGGAAAGGGGGAGTGGCCGGTGGCGGTGTTTGATGAGTACGCGTGGTATTATTGATCTCTTTCTCTGTTCAGATTCCAGTTTAGCGCACAGCAATAGATGACACAATCATACACAGATATTTCGAAGCCCCCCAACTATCCCCATATAGTTAATGCTCTTTAGTTACCACTCACAGCTCCCCCTTAAAAACCACCACCAAAACCGCCACCCCAAACGGCGGCATCCGCACCGTATACCCCGCCCTCCCATGCTCGATCTCCCTCAAAACCGGCACGATCTTCGCATCCCCGGGTCGATTACTCGCGTCCTTGGGCCCCGAGATCATCTCGAGCACGCCGCGCCCAACCCCCGGCACCAGCACGTTCACCGTCTGGTTCGCGTGCCCGTAGTTCGCCAGCTTGATCTGGTACGCTGTGGCGTTGGACGTCGCGACCCAGTACACGGGCCCGAAGTCCGCGGTTGACCGCACGCGGTGCACGTACGTGCCCTGGTTTGTGCTGAACATCCGGTTGACGTAGTAGCTTGTGCTCAGCGTGAGGCTGTTGGGGCGCGAGTCGAAGCCGAGCAGGGTTGGCTGGACTTTGTCAATATCCGCTGTACCCTTCGACACAAGCAAGGGAAGGGAACGAGGGTCGGGTAGGGTAGGGTAAGGTTGGAAAAGAAGGAGAGGAGAACACACCGACCACTGCGTGTACCCGAAATGCTGCAGCAGCGGCGCATACGCCGCCATCATGACCACATCGCTGTTCCGCTCGAGCCCAATCATATGCACGGCCTCGGCACAAGATCCCTGGACGAAACTCCAGTACACCCCGTCCGGGTTACTATCGTTGCGGCACCCGTACTCGCCCACCAGCACCTTGTCGTTGCGGTCGTGGTTGTCCCAGTAGTTGAACATGGCGGCCAGATCGTCGGCGTTGCGGTAGTAGTGGTAGTCGTGCCACAGGCCCGGCAGCGGGTTCTCGGGGAGACACAGCTCCTCCATGTTATTCGCGATCATTGTCAGATTTGGGTAGACGGCGTGGATTGCGTCGTAGATGCGCACCAGGCGGTCCGGGTACGTGTCGCACCCGCCGCTGTAGTCGTCTTCGTTGCCGATTTCGATGTATTGGATTGGCCAGGGGGGCGTTCGGCCGTTGCGCGCGCGCAGGGAGCCGTAGGGGGTTGTGGCTGGGCCGAGGAGGTACTGGGTGAGTTAGCAGT